AATTGGCCGGAGATTTTCAATAGATTTTTGCATGAGCGTGTAGAAAAATGTTCGGTCTACCACCGTGTTCAATAGCAAGTTTTTCCGATCAAAAACGGCCAAGAAATAGCAGAAAAAGGATGAAAATGTCAAAGAGTGTCTCTAATTACCCCGAAGTACTCTACATCATTAATTGTATTAATGGTATTAAACATTCTTTTGCGAGTAGTAATCAGTAGGATATGTTTTACTGATTTTTAATCAAAACTAATCATTATGTTCTGGGAGCTGCTTCTTATTCTGACGTTCCTATATAGTCATCAATTCTTCTTATATATGTTTCTACTTCTATTTTTTCTAAAAAGCGACTAATTTATGTATCTATATATTAAATTACGGTGACTGATTACTCACTAATTAAAAAGTGGGCGCAATTTGGAAACGCAGAATCATACAAATTTACTCGTTCCAAATTGCGTCCACTTTTATACTAATTGGGTTAAATTTCGGCCGCATTTAGGAAGCTACGGAACAAACATGTTTCGAAAGAAAACCATTCTATGATCCGTTCGATTACACAATTAGGTCTATTTCAAGCGATCAACAGAAGTTTCAAACCTTGCGGTATAAATATACTCTCAATTTGTGTTCCTCTCGGATATTTGAACCGCACTGAAGAGAAAGTGCTCCTTCAAATTTTAATGAAATGAATTCATTACGACTGCATGCTATTACTAAGGATTTAGGGAACTACTCTACATGTAGTGTGCGTTGAATTTAAGAAATTGAAAATTCGTGTAAATTTGATTTAGTCAAGTTTAACTATCAAAGTTTTATTGAATACTTCAGAGAGAGCTCAATTCATTTCTTTTAGTGACATCTACTAGTAGTTATCAATCGCGAAACGATCCTGCGATATTTCGTGGCTCATTGTTAACTAGAAGTTATTATTCGAGCATGGTCGATCGTCCGAAACATTCTACTCATCGCGTTATTATCAATTCTGGTTTAGTTGAGAACGGAAGCGTCTGTTCTCATGATCTTGTTCATGTATATCAGGCCGACATATTTTTGCGGGTAGCCATGACTGTTTTACCAATAGCTGCTGTTGTTAGTTATTTACTTGATAGTATATGGCAACTGACAACAAGCAGCACGTATGCAGGATTATCATCCACGGTGTTGCACATATTTTATTATTTACAGTTTTATTCCTTCTTTACAGTCCAACCATCTTGGATAATAACCGTCTTTAATATTACCTATCAAATAATCATATGGATAGTGAGAATTGGAGGTGATGTAGTTTATTTGATTGATCATAAGCAAGCGGGTATGTATTAGGAGTGCATCGATTATTTTTTCGTATTTTTCAAAAATTCACAATAAATGTTTTGTATTTTCATAAAAACGATTTGCAACATTTTTCTAAAACGGCAGTTTTGTAGAGAAAACATTTCTCTACAAGATGATATATAATAGTTAATTTTAAAGTTTTTTGTTTCCTTTTATAAAGCGTTTTCCTCAAACCTACGGTCGGTTAATAACCGTCGGTTATAACCGCGGTTATTAACCGATACGCCTCTCTATCAAAAACGCTTTTTAAAGAAACCCAAAACCTTTAAAATTAACTATTATATATCATCTTGTAGAAAAATGTTTTCTCTACAAAACTGCCGTTTTAGAAAAATGTTGCAAATCGTTTTTATGAAAATACAAAACATTTATTGTGAATTTTTGAAAAATACGAAAAAATAACCGATGCACTCCTAGTATGTATAATGATTCTATAACAGTAATATTACGATTAGATATCTTTAAAGCCCTCAAAATAAAGAGAATAATGCCTCTCAATCAATCTGTGAGATTTTCAGTATATTTAGGCGAATAGAATCTCACTTGTACTTCTATTTTTATAGGAGATAAGTTTTATACAGTTATTTTATCTGTAAATATTGTACAAGACACTGTGTTTATCTGCTGGATATGCGCCTATAAAATATTACAGTATGAACCATTAATTAAAGTTGAACACAAAGCTTTGTTTAGTGTTGTATCACGTCTAGAAGTGATTTTGGCTATACTGGTACCAATATTTTCACGAAAAGATAATTTAGTTAAACGAACAGTGGCTAACATTTCATTATTTATCTTGTATGATTTCTTTGCTGGCTATTATCGTTGGTTTACTGTTCGACTCAAATGGTGTTTGTGGTTATTCGTTGTCTTTGTCACTGTTTCTGTTTGTAATGAATGGTTATACTTTGCTAAAGGACATGAATTTGAAATATGCGATAAAATCGGGGCCGCATTCGAATTTTTAGCCGAATGTAGTTGTTGTTTATTAATCATCTGGCAATTTCAAATGCCGTCTAAGACTAAAAAGCCGAATAGTGTACTATAAACAACATTAAATTGAAGACACTATTCCATATTCTGTCTGCATACTGTCTCATCGACAAATATGTGAGTATCATTCGCTTTTCAACGCCGAAAGATGCTCTTTACGCTATTTTTTTCTTTTGACTGGAACTCCAGTCATATAAAAAAATAGGGGAGTACAAACTACCGTCCGCTTATAGAGCTGGCTTATTGTTAGTAAGATAACCACGTATTTAGTGAGGTGGGCCACTAAAAGATAGAAAAACTAAAACAAAAATGATAAATTTACCCTCTAAATATTTGGATGGATCGCTAACCAGAAAGAAACAGCTGAGATGTTTTTCAAAGTGCTACCTGATGATGGATGAAAAATTTAACATGTATACGTTCGGATGGACAAAACTTTTAAAGAATGCAGGTCATATTAAGATGCAGTTTCTGACAAAAAGTCTACGTCACATTTGATCAAGGCTCAAGCAAAGTCAAAGTGACTGCTGATGTTTTTAAAAAGCCTATCTGCATGTGTAGGGAGAAGTACATTATGGTAAAGCTTTAACACCGGCGAATAAACTCATTCCACTTTTATTTCGAGCTTTCTATATGTATGGATTCGTTATCAAAAAATCTAAAACGTTGAATCAAAATCAGCAAGACTAACAGATTAAAATGAAATTAAAGTACAAGAAAACAGTAAAGTGAATCACATTTAGTAAACTAGACACATGTAACTGTACACTAGTGTGTCTAACAGAAAAGATAAATTTTGACTATTGTAATCTTTTCGATTAAGAGAGACACTATCTTTTGGAAGAATAACCAGAGGAACAGATCTAGTTATAGAATTTGGATCTGGAATTGGTTCTATTATTTGCAAAGATTCTTTAATTAATAGACGATAAAACATGGTATCTTTCGAAAGAATGATATTTTATCTGATGATTTTGTTCAAGGGCATGTTTACTAGGGTACAATCTCCTAACAACTGTCTGTATGAAAATCCAATGAATCTTTTAACAAATTCAACTTTGCTTCCGTAGTAAATATCATTAAGCGATTTTCTGAACCGTCTCCCGAATCGAAATACAAAACGTTGTTAGTTTCCGATGTTTTTGTCTGTACTGTCGATGAATCTTTTATCTTCTTTGTCTGATGATATTGTATCAATCTTTTAATATGTTTGAATTTTGTTAATTCTGCTTGTGCTTCTATCGATATTTGTGATGTACAATCAGTAATGTAGATCAGTTCCGATGTAACTGGCATGTGCCTTAACTCGGTATTATATCATAGTTCATTTGTTTCCATTGCATAAAATGAAAATGGCACAAATAGATACACGTATAGTGAATGGACAAAAGTCATTCACAATTCGGTATAATGTACCTTCCTCTGTTTAATGGGCCATAAGCGCTTTTCCCAATGAATTAGTATTTATTTACTTTTGTAATACTCATTCATGAGTACGAAGTAATATAAACAGCTTTCTTTCGTTAGTACGATAAGCTGAAATAAACGACATTGGGATAATCAAACGCTTAGCCCTTAGAAAACAAGCTCTGAACTTGTTTCTTTCTTGTTTACTTCTACATTAGGAAATTGGGCGCTTTTTCTCGATGAAAATTGCCAAATACTGAAAAGTATCCGAAAATCGGAAAAACCTATACTTCGGATGTTTTGCTTGTTATTTTTTCTAGTTAAATTAAGAGTGGACTAGATCACACACCATACAAACTACTGTGTCATTCTTTTCTCTTTTTTTTTGATTATTTCACATTCTCGCAATACGCCTTATAGCCACTTCGACTGTTTTCTAAAATTATTAAAATTATATACTGTTTTCTTCACTAACTCGAAAATTATTGAAAAAATAAATACAACAATAAATACAAATACACTATACAAAAATAAACGATGGAAAAAGGGAGGCTTGAACCGAGTACCGATTGTCGGTACTAAGAAACCGACAGTCGTGGGAAAAAATCGCTGATTAGTCCCTATAAAACATGGATAAGCCGCGATTAAAAGTAAAAAGTCGGCGACTAATTACACCATAATATCGCAACAATCGAACAACAAGTCGCGTAAAAGTCGCCGATTTTTAAGCGATTTTTATCAAATGGGAACCTTTGTACTTCTGGAAAAATTACTTGTTTTGCGCTCTTGTTACTAGCACTTGTATTTTTCGATAGTTTTAGTTTAGAATATTATAATTGCATACTTTTACGCTTGTTTTCGGGCAGAATAAAGCTTATACCAACTGATGGCAAAAAATTGCACCGATTCGGATTGTGTAATTATTGCGCTGTTGTCTTGCCAATAATCTCGGCTAGTATTCCAGTCATTATACTCTTAAATATACATTTGGATAGATTTCTATCTTGATTACTTTGTTTAGTAAGTACGTGGTAACACGCTTTATAAACGCAGCTATTTATACAAAAAGTTTACATATAGTTGAACATACGAGAAACACATGGAAAAATGACGCAGGTAGAAAACAGAATACAACATGACGGCAGAAGAATAGAAAAGAACATGGCGTATATTACTGACCCGGATATATGACCTCAGTAAAGGACAAAGTGGCGCGGCCAGCTAACTCTGCTACCGTAAAGGAATTCCGTAACGTTTTTTTCATCATTTTATTTTGTTTATGAATCGTAAACCAAACGATGCGAACAGTTGCGACATGTCTTAAACTGAAGGAAAAACCGCTATGACCATTTTAACATGCGTCTCAGCTCTGTAACATGTCTCGTTTTAAAAATCTGATAGAAATATTGATAACTTCGTTTCGATTCTCCAAAGTTTGAATGTGCGAAAAATAGTTGCCAATATTTCTATCAGATCTTTAAAACGAGACATGCTACAGAGCTAAGACGCACGTTAAAATGATCACAGTAATTTCTTCTTCAGTTCAAGACATGTCGCAACTGTCCGCATCGTTTGGTTTATTAGATTGCACTTTTCTATTGATCCTAATAAACAACAAATTAAAATAAAGATTAAAAGCTTAAACAAATTCTGAGAAGTATGATCTTTCGAATCAGCAGAAAACCGACAATTAATCACACTAAGCTAAAAATAACCGACGGTTAATTGCGATCAACTGGACAATTCAATGGTTAATTGCGGTCAACCGCGCAATTCAGCGGTTAACCTCACAATTAATTAGATGGTTAACCGTGGTTAATTGGCGATTTTTTGACGGTTTAAGACACATGGAAAGTTAATTAACTTGGATTGGATTTATAAGAGACAAAGCAGCTCAGAAACCAGTTTCATCACTGCTGCTTAAAAGGTAGGTCTAAAAAAAATAAGTTTATTACGAAACCTAAAAGTGTGTAGAGAAGTACAGCCATCTCGACACCGTTTGGGGTTTCCTATGAATCTCTTTTGGATTTCGTACTACGACTATGAAACCTTTATGTTCATCCAAAACCGCAAAAAGGTTTTGTAGTCGAAGTACGAAACCCAAAGGGATTCATACGAAACCTCAAATGGTTTCGAGATGGCGTGTACTTCTTCACGCCCTTTTAGGTTTCGTAATAAACCTGTGTTTTTTAGAGAGTAGCGCCAATTAATTGAGAACCTATAAACCGAAAAATTACTTAGGTTCTCAAAGACTTTATGGCGTACAAAAACGGAAATGAAACAGAACAGAATAAGAAGAAAGAAGCGAACACATTATAACGTTGACAAAACAAAAAGATAGAATGGGTTCGCCTCTTTCTTCTTATTCTGTTCTGTTTCTTATTTTTATGTACACCACATCGTAGTTATCAAAATAAAGCTTATATCAAAGAGTTTATTCTAGAATATCTGCTTTCAACTTGTTGTCTATACTTAAATAATATGACATGGTGTGTTGACACAACGACAAAAGTGAAAATACATATTTTTCTTATTCTCAAAATTTTATCTTTGAAAATGTATTAATGCACACTGAATACCTGAACTTAATTTGATCTACTCTTTCTTCGTCTATTTAACAAAGAATTACTTGACGATCGTGTTGCCTTCATCAGAAGAGAAGAGAAAATTTTTAATGTTCCGTTTTGTTTCAGACTGACAACGAATAAACCGAAAGATAACTTTGGTTGTTAAAGAGTCTATTTTAAAGTATCTGCTTTCAACTTGTTGTTGGTTTTTTTCACAGTGTCACTCTATAGGCATTTATTGCGATCTTTTCTTTTCACGAAGAAGATTTACAGAGTAAATGAAAGAAAATTAAGTACTCTTCCAAAAGTATTTGCAATGAAGAGTCGATACGTATGAATTTTAACAACTTCTGAGACGGATGATTTTCGATTTCGTTTATTATCAACCATTGAATATATTAGAAAAATGTTCATTTCATGATATATTGGAAGTATTTTGTATTGTATTTAGGAATATAGCATCAGTGTATAATCCAGTGAAAACATGTATAATGGCTGCTGAATATTAGCGAAAAGCTTTAGAAATATAACTGAATTTAATACCAATGAATAAATGGTGACACATCTAGGAAGGGCGGTAAAAAGTCATAAATTCCTTCATGTTCGGCTCGAAAATGTTTCTCTCTCATACTCGAGTATTTTACGAAATGAGTGGAATTACTTCCACTTACGACGATTAGTGCAAAAACAATTGCACAAATTTTCGCTAATGAAGTCGTTTGCAGATTTGGTTGCTCTAAAGTAATATTGTCCGAGCATGGACCGCAGTTTAAGAGTGTCTGTGCTGCTTTAGATATTCAACATCGGCGCACAGCTTTCTACTGTCATACTTGTCTAGGGAGAGCTTGTTCGTGGTAGTTACGTCATGCTTTTATTTTGAGCGACACCGTTTCCTGCTTTGACAATATTGTTTTTCATTGTTCTTCACTTATTCATTTTATATCTTCTTAAATTGCCTTGAAAAGACTTAAAACTATCTAAAAATACATATACATCTATTTGACTTCGATAACATGGACACATTATCATTAGAAGCAAATTGGAAACGGTAAACAATTAAGGAAAGTTTATTAACTCAAAA